CTCATTACTGCTTTATACCTGCCTCATTACTGCTTCGTACCTGCTTTATACCTGCTTTGTACCCGCCTCATTACTGCTTTATACCTGCCTCATTACTGCTTTATGACTGAATCAATACTGCTTATATTACTGCATTATTACCGTTTTATTGAACATCACTACTTTATGACAACATCGTTTTATTACTGTAGAAAAATGGTTATTTAAATAATTTTTATTAAAAGTGATTAGTTTTTTAAATTTATTTACCCTTTATACAGGTAGTCTCATTGAGCCAAGATAACTAATTTTTCAAGAGAGACCTGTTTAGGGAGCAGATGGGGGTTAAGGGCCTTGCTCATGGGCTGAGTGGGGCGAATGAGGGTGGAGGCAGGTGTGGGTGCTTCACCTACCCCACCCACATTTTTGATGTTGTCAGTACTGGGGCTTGAACCAGCGATCTTCCGATCACAGGCCCACCTTCTCTAACCTCTGCGCCACAACTCCCCAATTTATATTGTTATTATAGTAATTTACAATTACTCAGAACTGTAATAATTTGGGAGCAGCACGGTGGCGCAACTGGTAGAGCTGCTGCCTCTCAGCAAGCAGGTCCTTGGTTCAAACCCCGGTCCAGGGGCCTTTCCTGGTGGAGTTTGCATGTTCTCTCCGTGCATGCGTGGGTTTTCTCCGGGTACTCCGGTTTCCTCCCACAGACCAAAAACCTGCATGTTAGGCTGATTGGTAACTCTAAATTGTCCCTAGGTGTGAGTGAGAGAGTGAAAAATGTTTGTCTTGTTTGACTCTATGTGGCCCTGTGATGGACTGGAGACCCATCCAGGGTGTACCCCACAACCCGCCCCTCGCACAGTGATTGCTGGACATGGGCACCGGCAAACCCCGTGACCCAAAATTGAATAAGCGGGTAAAGATAATGGATGGATGGATGTAATAATTTCTACTTTAGAGCAGTAACACAGAAATATTATAAAATTACTTTAATATTATTGCAACATTACCTGGAAGATACTAGTAACAGTTTTTACTTTCATGACTATTAAAATACTACATTATTATATAAGTACTAACAATATAACTGCTGTAATAAATGTGTTGTGACGCTGCAGTACAGACAGAGCGCAAACAGAAGTTGAAAGCTCCAGTAATAAATGTTTTGTTGTACATTGAAGTGTTTCTGAAGGTGCCGACTCATGTTTGTCTCCATGGATCAGGGATTATTAATCGATCGGTGGACCGGTCCCCTCAGGACAGGAGGAACTCTGAACCACCGAGCATCAGAGCCACAGAGTTTAGAGAAATGATGAGGAAATGTGTTTGTACCTTTTTGAGGCGTTTCTCGTGCGGACTTTTAATCTGAGGAACAAAACGATGAAGAACAGTTAAACATGTTGAAACACAGGGGAGTGGCCTGCAGACAAGAGAACTAACAGAACCGGACTGAGCCCAGCAGAACCACACAGAGCTGATGTCCCTACCGGACCGGTCCAGAAGCTCACCTTCTTTTTGGCCCCGCTGTCCGGAGGTTGCTCCTTCTCCTTCTTCTTCTTGTGGCCCCCCTCCCCTCTCCCTGCCTCCTCCAGGGAGGGAGGGGCTTTCTTCTTAGGGGGCGGGTCTTCTATGAGCTTCCAACGGCCCTCTTCCCCGTTATCCAGCTTCCGTTTCCCCAACCCGTCTGTCTGGTCCTGGACACAAACATGGAACAGGTTTCAGTGCCTCAGACTGGATTAATGTGGACCTCTGATGGTTCTGAGCCTCACCTTACTGGTCTTTCCCTCCTTGTGGCACTTTGGACACTCCCAGCAGTTTGGGATCTCGTCATTGATGATTCCTTCAGCTTTGCCCATCTGAAAAAGAAACACCAGCATCTTAACCACCAAACTGCAGCATGAAAACTTTAATGTTTCCATCGATGTGTCAAGTAAAAAAAACACCTGAGGCTGACCTGACGACAACTGAGACTGACCTGAGAACAGCTGAGACTGACCTGAGACCAGCTGAGACTGACCTGAGACCAGCTGGGACTGACCTGAGAACAGCTGGGACTGACCTGAGAACAGCTGAGACTGACCTGAGAACAGCTGAGACTGTCTTGAGAACAGCTGGGACTGACCTAAGACCAGCTGAGAACAGCTGAGACTGACCTGAGACCAGCTGAGACTGATCTGAGAACAGCTGGGATTGACATTAGACCAGCTGACACTGACCTGAGACCAGCTGAGACTGACCTGAGACCAGCTGAGACTGACCTGAGACCAGCCGAGACTGACCTGAGACCAGCCGGGACTGACCTGAGAACAGCTGGGACTGACCTGAGACCAGCAGAGATTAACCTGGGACCCTCTGAGACTGACCTTCAGGCAGCTGGGGTGGATGATCTCATTACAGATGGTACACTCCATCAGAGACAGACTGAACTTCTCCTCCTCAGAGTCCACTGTGTCCTCCTTCCCCGCCTCTCCACACGCAAAGCACACTGCTGTGTGAGGCAACACGGGCTGTGGAGACAGGTGAACACAGGAAGATCAGAGACACACATGTGAGTTCAAATAAAAAAAGGTCAAAATCAAGGTTTTTATTGTCATTCGCATATCATGTGGTACATGAGGTGGATTGAAATTGTGTACACAGGGTCCCAGTTACATCCAACAAAAGTATAAAATGTAAAGAAAAACAGTAATAAGATCTAAGATATGAACCAAGAAATACGCTAAACACTAGTAGTACACAAACAAACAATACGCTGAACAGCAGCAGCACGAACATGGGTCTGAAAAAAACAACAACACTAAAATAAATATATTGCAGCACCAAATAATAAACGAGTAAATTAAATATGGGACTCAAGAAAAAAAAAAA